AGTATCTTGCCCAAGGATATTTGGCATGCAGACAAGGAGCAACCTGGGATCAAACCACCGACCTTCTGGTTAGTGGCTGATCTGCTCTGCCACCTGAGCTACAGCCACCCGAAGTACAAATACTAGTGTTGAAAAATACTCCAGTAAAAGTTAAAGGGCAGATTGAACATCTTTATGCAAGTAAAAGTGAAAACGTAGCTCCTTGAAGAACATTTCTACCATCTATTGTTATGCAAAGCTGACTGAACCTTGTGCTATATTAATGTGACAATAAAATAATATTAGTAGATAGAAATACCAACTTTATTTCAGTCTAAGTTTTGATTCTAATCAAGGTACTCAGCTTGAATCAGGTAAGCAGAACATGAACAGAAAAAAAGAAGGAATTTTTTTTAAAGTTGCCTACATTATAGAGGGTTACTTTGCCTCTTACCTTTAAATAATAACACAGTTAGCCTACCTCAGTTTGTTTTGTAGTATGTTTGACAACATGGAAAAACATTATGTCAAATATACAGACCCAATATCTGATTTAAAACATGAGGACTTAGATGTAAGCTTGAACATGTCCAGTTTATCACCACTGAGCAGTCCTTACCTTTAAATCTAAGCTCTCTTCCTTTCCTGCCCTCTTTTTTTTATCTTTCTCCATCTCTGAGTGGAGTTAGCTCTTTCTTTTCTCTTCCTGTGAAATACAGCAGCTAGTCCTTTAGGCTCTGTCTCACATTTTACTTTTAAGTACTTTAGTCAGCCTGCAGTCTGAAAGCGAAGTGCTCTAATGGGGTGATATTGGTACTATTAGGTCATTAAGATAAGATGGGGCCCGATTATTCAAGACCTTGTACTTGACGAGGATTTTAAATTCAACATGGAGTCGATGAAGGGAAGCCAGTATAGGAGAAATATGCTCTCTCTTTTTTAGTCCCTGTCAGTACTCCTGCTGCAGCATTTTGGATCAACTGAAGGCTTTTCAGGGAGTTCAGTAGGACATCCTGATAATAACAAATTACAGTAGTCTAAAAGTAATAAATCCATGAACTAGTTTTTCAGCTGCACTCTGAAACAGGATATTTCTAATACTGCACAAACAGCACTTTTACATATTTGTAACCTTAGTGCATAAAGAATTTGTCCACTTACATGAACAAATAGGTATCCATTAGATAGACCTTTAACACCTACAGCATGCTCTAATAGCTATAATAAAATATTATGGTCAACAGGTCTGAGGTCCAGCAGGACAAGCACAGACAGTCCACTGTCAGAGGCCATAAGATCTTTTGTAAAGCTGTTTCTGTGATGAGTTCTGAAACCTGACTGAAACTCCTCAAATAAGCCATTCCTCTGCAGATGATCATTTACAGAAGCATTTTACAGCTACAACCTTATAAAGGAAGGTTGGAGGTTGGCCAATAATTAACTAAGACCGCTGGGTCCAGTGATGGCTTTTAAAGTAATGGTTTAACTACTGCCAGCTTGAAGGCCTGTGGTACATACAGCTTAATAACTGACAGAGGCTGATATTCAAAATTCAAACATTAAACTTCCTTGAGCAGCCTTGTAAGAATGGGGTCTTTAAGACATGTTGATGGTTTGGAGGAAGTACTTACTGAAGTTAACTCGGAAAGTTCAGTTAGAAAATGGTCTAAAGGAGCT